TGGGACGCCCCTGGTGTCGGGAAGAATTCCCTGAAATACAACCTTACCGCTAATTCTACCTCCTTCAGAACGAGCAGAAAGAGGGGTCTTGCGGCGCCAGCCCACTAGGAGGGGTATGTAGCGTATGCAGCCTACCGCGACCAAATATTGGGTTGGAAAGAAAGTCTTGTCACTGTTGTGATTTTTTCTTTTTTGTTTTCTAACTCAACATGAAATAAAAATTAATCAACAATATAATTGCCACTACAGTGCTCCATCCAATGGGCAAGTCAGCGATCCCCTCCTCCTGGAACTGGGAAGGCTGCGAGTCGAAGAAGTGAGGCAACTTCTCGACTGATGTCATCAAACTTGCTGAAAGTTTTCTTACCTATGAAAGCCTTAAGGGGGCGGAACAGGTAGTAGTCGGAGGGGGCTATGTCAGGAGAATATGATGAGCGGATTGGTCTCCAGCCTTGCTCCTCAATTATTTGGTAGGTCTCCATAGCAGTATGGGGTCTCGCGTCCTCACGAACGAGGTGCCCCGAAGCTAGTCTCGGTCATTTTTCTCCAACAGTTTCCACGGGTTTCTGGAGCTGAGCGGCACAAATGGTAGCGGTGACCGTGTGTTCTTACAGGGCAGCTCGTTGTGCAGCATTCCCCTCGCGTCCCAGAAGCAGCACAGGAGAACCTCTCGGAATACATGCCCGGTTTGGACTGCTAGATGGGTCTTCTCCTTGAGAGAGACACACGGTACTGTGTGGGTTGAAATCATAGAGGACCCATCTCTCATCTCCACTAAGCAGTCTCCTAGAAACTCCTTCTGACGAGGGCGGAGAAGGGGAGACTGACCAAGGGGTACCCGGGTGCACAGCGTGCCATCGGTCAAGGTATGAGTGATCCATCGAGCCAGTACTTTTCGATAGCCAGGGTTTACAGGCGATTGACTACGCAGGCTCCGGATCCCTCTTGACCTTCGAGAACAGTGGAGTCTTCCACTTCGTGGATCCGCCCCAACCGAAATTTACCATCGTGTCTCCTTTCGCGAAGCGAGCGAACCAACGGTGGACAGTCCTGACGGTAGTGGTGTCCTCCCCCAATGCACAGTTGATGTTACGGGCAGCTGCCGTCGCTCCAGTGCCGCGGCGCCACTCATAGAAGATGATCACTCGAAGCTGCTCCAGTGAAACTGACATCGTAAATAAACACAGGGAAGAGCAGGAGCCTTGATATACCTCTTGTGGAAAGCTTCGAGAATGTTCTACAACCATAGCATGTTACGTCATCATCGTACATCGAGAATCAAAAACTGTAAGCTATCCATAAAACACTGACAGAGCTTTCCTTCCAGCCTATTACCTCCACCATCCTTCCTCGAAGAACTCCCAAAAAACGACGTGCCCAGGCCGGGAGTGACTGCAACGAGTTTCAAAATAAACGTCTCTCTCCCTTATAGGCTGGTGTGCAGCGAAACTGTAGTTTGCAACTGCTCATGTTCCGATGGAAGATCGAGGCGTAAAAAATCGCTCAGGCAGCGTTCAGACTTCGCGACGGCAGCGCTTCGGTCGCGCGTTCGACGCGATCGATGCGCATGCTTTCGACTGCATCGATCGCGTCGAACGCGCGACCGAAGCGCTGCCGTCGCGAAGTCTGAACGCTACCTTAGCACT